ATTATTAGTTACTATTCTTATGTTATTATTTTTATTTATTCTTATTTAGTTTATTTTTTTTTTTAGTTCATATATATATATAAGCAATGCAGCTCATAGAATATAAGTACTGTTCTGATTGCTGTAAAATAATAAATGAATAAAAAAAAAAAAAAAAAGTTTATTATATTATGGAGTCCATCCATATTTTTTTTATTAAAATTTCGTTGAATCATTATTGCTTGGTAATCTTTGTGTATATTCATGAACAGGTTTATTAAATTAGGAATACTAGATAGATGAATTATGATTCATAACAATACATTTTATTTTTACAATTCTTTTTATGCATAATTTACTAACAGAAACTATTAAATTCTATTAGCAAATGATCTGGCATAGTAAAAATTCGTATACATATGTGTTTTTTTATCATATTCATACATAAGTAATATTAAGCTTGGAATAAATTCAAACATAATAAAAGCGACAGACTCGATATACGAATCAATACTAAGCAGACTACAAAGCAAATAGTGATGAATGTAAATATTACCTATTAAAGCTCAATATATGGACAAAGACGTGTCAAACAAAAGTTCATTAAATATGTGAAATTCAAATAGAAAAATAATTTAAATATTTAACGCTAGGATTTTCTTAAAGATTAATATCGAAATGCAGGTAAAAATAGTACAGAATATAAAAATTAAATGTTGTAGGTGGCTAAATGCTCCAAGTAAGCAAGGCCTATATAAAAAAAAGGTACTGCAGTATCAGTACTTAGTAGCAATACAGTGAAATCACACGTTTTTATACAATAATCATATTGCTGTTTATTCAAAATAACTAATTGGTAAGGCAATTTTATTATTTGAGAAACACTATTAAAAGCTCCATAAAATCTATTTTTTTATCTATTTCATAGATATTATCTGAAGTTTTTCAAATACTGAACCAATGTCTAAAATAAAATCCTGGCACGAATATGCCATATCTTAACATGAATACATATTTGGTTTACCACAACGCCATGTGTGCCAGTTATTATTATCAAATGTGACGACGCGATAAGGCCTAAAACCAAACAACCGTTGCCTAGAAATATGTTCTATTTATTAGGGCAGAGCCTCTCAATATTTTTATAGATCAAGGGAAATTGCTGTGGATAAAAATGGAAAGTCTAAAAATCAATCTAAGTTAATGAAAAAGAAATAAAGCGAATTTAATAATAAGTTCATTGAATATACATGCAGTATGTACATGATAGCTTAGGCACTGCATACCAAATTGCAAAAATGTAATGTAATTTATATATCTTGTAAATTGAATAATTTAATTACTTGTAATTTATATTATAAACTCATAATTATTCGATAAACAATATGGTACTTATGAAATTGTAAACTATATTCAAATACATTGCATAATTTTTATCTCATTAAAGCTCAATTTTTGGTTGCAGGATTTTGAAGAAAATTAATTTTCTAATAATTTCAGATTTTCAATTTCAATAACCACTTATTTTTCTGCAACTTATATTGTAAATATTTACGGTATATAGGTACAACAAAATAGAAACACGTGCGATTCAGTGAACACTAGAATAAAGCTTCCCAGTAATAACAATATAAAATATCAGATTGTTAGCGAGCTTGTATGCGCGCCAAATGCATTCAAGCAAATGCATAGAAGAAATAATTTAAATCGGTTACGGTCTAATTTCACAATAATGTATAGACAAGCGCGTTTATTATAGCATATTTTCTGCTTCTTTTGCAAACGATACCTCAAACGAAATTCTTAACACCGAGAATTTTTTTTAAAATGTAAAAATTGCAACGTAGAAATTTTTCCAATATGACATTATGGTTTGTAAGTGATTTCACACTATATTAGAAAGTATAAATAAATAAATTGTATATAATTTTTGTATAATATTACTGCATGTATTAGAATAATATAAATACTGTTATTATCAACATATTTACATTCAACGCGTAATGCATATTTTTCCAACAATATTCGCATGCAATATTTTGTTTAATTTATTGTAATTAATTAGTTTTATAATGGATTGGAAGAATAACTAGCTGCATAATTACAAAAATTGAGGCAATTATTGGATTATATAAATATTTCTTAACTTATATATAACATATTTAATAAAATAAAGTATTACATTAAATTGTTAATATACTAGGGTAATTAAATAAAATTTGAGATACAAAATCCAAATCTCATTACTCAAGATACTCAAGAAACCCAATATAATTTTTGTGAGAACAAGTGAATTACTCAAAGAGTCCAAAAAAATGTATAGTTAAATAGATGAGTGTAATCAAATAAAATTGTAATCACAAAATTAAAAATATATTATTGAATAATAACTTGTTATTTGCTAATTCATTATATGGCTGATTTTTATATATCAGTCAAATCTATAATAAATAATTTCTTGGTTGATACTCAAGAAATATAATTTTTTTCCTTCATATAATCACAATCTGCCTGTTAAGGCATTCAGTAATTTTGGTGATTTTAAAATGCTACCCAGTGGTAGTCATTTCAAGTTTGAAAATGGATGAGATAAATATACAGAAAAGTAATAATAAGTCAAATTTGTTTTTTGAGTTTTCCGGAGTTATTTGAGAAAACAAGTTGGGATGATATTTAAGGGGGTCTTCCTATGTGATGGGTTGAAAAAAACATTTTTTTTTTCATAAATTGCTCCCTTAACATGTCTAGAATACGGTAGTAAAGCGATTTTAGAAAATTCGAAGTCGTTTTAAAGATACAGCAGGTAAAAGAAAGAGCGGTTCTTAATAGTTTTTAACGGACTCGAAACTTTAAACGCGTTTTTCTCAAAACTGTGTTTTTCAAACTTTCCTCCATTGTATCTCTAAACGGCTGGACCGAATTACTTGAAATTTACAGGGCACACTCAATATATTTAAACGCATGGAACGATTTTTTATCAAAAAACAAGAAAAACGCCTAATTTGCAACTTTTATTTCAAATGTCTATCAAAAATCCATTTTTTTTATATTCATTTGATTATAGGTCATTCCGTGATTTTAAGCCTACAAATTAAAACGCTGTTTATTTTTTTTTTCAGATAAGCCGATCAGCCGGAATCGTGGAGGAAGTGGGAGCTCTTTTTTTCGAGGCGGGGGTGTTCAGAGCCCTGTAACTCTAGTTTGACTGAATATTTTTAGCTGAAATTTTATATTTATACTGTTCAAATATGTGTTAATAAATGATAAAAAACTTGAAGCTCTAAATATTTACTGGTCGTAGAAAAAAAATCCTAAAATATCCCTAAAAAACAGGCCGTCACATAGGAAGACCCCCTTAAGTCTAGTTTTATACTTAGATACTTGTCTTTTGATTACTTCCGATACCGTGAACATATTGGAGTCCTGGTGGATCACTCAATTATATGTATTTGGCGCCCCTAGCATTTTTTAAGAATGTTGCGACCTTTGCAAAATGTTTATGTTGGTTTGACTAGCGAGAAACCCAAAACAGAACAATGTTACTCAAAGGGTACCCAAAAGAACTGAAAATTTATAGTTGAATAGATAAAAAAATTATAAATAGCATTCAGTAGTAAAGCAATAGCAAGTGCCTTATACTTTGTAAACCAATAACAGAATGATAACCTGCATAGAAAACCGTTGCAACAGAATTAATCTTTCATAAAACCGCACATTACTTTATTTTTCAGTACAACAATAACTATTAAGTCATCAAAAAACAAGTGAAGAAACTGCAGATAGCACCACTACAGAGTACTGCGTGCTCAAGCACCGAACAAAGTATCTCACAATTACGTTTTACACGAATACTCGAGACATTTTTATATGTTGCTTCTTAGCATCCGTTCTCAGAACATTATCCGTATAAAGCCAAGCCCATAGCGTACCCAATTATAATATGTATGTGTATTATAATATTACTGGATATATGCATATAAACTATCCCGTCAGCCCTATTTGCATATATTAACATTCCCCAAGAAGCTGCCATGTTTTATATGTATTTGGCCATGTGTATAAAAGCTACACATGTGCAGAGTTATAAGAACTCTGAATTTCAAATTTTAATTATTTTATATCTAGGTAAGTGTTGATACCAGTAGTTCTCAATTTCCAGCTTAAGAAAGGATTGGAATTGATAACATGAAGAATAGAAGATGATGCTTACTAACATGCATTAAAGCTTTATTCGGCGACTGTGATTAGTAATAAATTTACTAAACACAAATAAATATCAACTTATATATTAGAAAAATGTTTTATGTAAAATTCACCCTAACAATATTGGATAAACGTGTATAGTAAATTTTTTGAATCCTTATTCATTAAAACTATTACAATATATAATTCCATGAACAATTTGAATTAGAGAATTCTAGGCATGTTTCAAATGAATATAAAGAGCATAACAAACCGTTCTGCAATCGTTTAACATTGCATCAATTGTACTTGACATGTGCTCCGGAACGCGTGCGTCATACGTGCTCTTATGTCAAATCATAAATTTATGAAATGAAAACTTCCTCATATTCTTATCGTAAATTATAGTTTCGACAAATATGGGCTGATAAATTACATATCATTTTTATATCCGGTTATTTCTGAAGGATTAAAAACAAAAAATGCAGCAAGTATGTAATCGCTGATCAAATCTAATATAACATTGTTAAAATTCAAGATTTTGTCTATGGACAAAATACACTAAATTTTTCACGTAATCAATAATAATTTTTTAGAAGATTTTAAGTTTAAGTTCTTACATAGACAATGGTAAGACTTAAAAAAAAACTGATTCTGAGTGTAAACGCTAATCATTCCGGTAATGAGTATACTGTTAATATTGGTTATGTCAATTATTCGCAAACATAAATAATCGTTGGTAACAATATATATAAGGTTAAACATATTTGTATGACATATTATTGACTAAAATATAATATCACAAATGCCTTCGAATTGACAAAGGTCTTTGCACTCACCGACTTGCAAGACGCTATCGACACATCCAGTTTCGAGCAATTTCAACCCTTTGCAGAAGGACAAATTTTGTGCATCGGCTGCCCCGTTGCCCACAAATTGGACACGAGATAAAGAACTGTACATACAGATATCACGCTCATTACGAGGAAATGACCAGAAAATGATTCTCCTCTGAACAGGTTCAGGAATTCTATCATAGCGCTCCTCGATTCGCTGAAAAGGTATATTTTCGGCAACGATCTTGGCAGTAATATCCAGTAAGGAATCCGGAGCACGTTTGTTCACACTCACATCACCACTATTCTTTAAATTAAACAATGAATAAGGATTGTTGGTTGAGAAATGGCCGACCAATTCACCGGCGTAACAGCAACGCCTTGTACCGCCGGCCGCCATGGCGGTTTATTTCTGTTTTTAAAGGAAACCACTTAACTAAGCTTTAAGGTTATTTTTTAACCCTAAATTAATACACAAAATGGACGATGCCGTATAAAAACACTGAAGCGCGCACACACGCGATACGCCTCGCGCGAACTCCCGACACCGACTGAACTTATTTGAAGTTCTTGTGCAGGTGGTGGGGAGGAGTGATGCGCATGCGCTGCGCGGAGAGATAATTTAGTGCCTACGATACTGAAGTCGATATCCTTCATGGGGGTGGAATAATAATAAATTAAACATTGTGATAATACCGCATTCAATTGAAGAAAGTTCAAGTTAAATTTTGCATCGGTTTTCATGTTGTACATGGACGATTCATTGCCTTTCAAACCTTTTTGATTTTCATTTTCAAGTAAAATTAATCATTATTTGATATGGATATCGCGTGAACTTGAACACAGACACTATATCCCCTATATCTACTAACTATCAAGCCGTCTTTATATATTAAGGGGGTTGTTCTTTTTTTCTTACCAAAAATGCAAGGTATTTGTTTTTGTTTTTCTCGAAATGTATTTCTCATAGAGAGACATGCGGTATTTTTTAAACAAAAATTACAAAATTATAGAATATTACGTAATTTTCTTCTTTTTTTTTGCGTCGTCATTTTTTAACCAGGGGGCGCCAAAGTCGGTCTTGCAAAATCGATCTCTTTTGCGGTGATAAATCCGTTGTGCATCGCCTGAAACAAAAAAAAAAACTACGTTGAAGAAGAAGTTTGAATCCAGTCCCCCTACCATAATGAAAGAAAAAAAGAAAAAAAATGTTTTTAAAAAAAAGTGTCAAAAAAGGCCCCTTTTTGGGGGCGAGAAGCTTCGCAAAAATTTTTTGCGTAATGTTATCAAGTTGTTTCAGGTAGGGAGACTAGGTATTGCAGTGGTGAACAAATTAAAAAAAATGCAAGTCGATCCGACTTGTAGTTTTTTTTTTAATTTGTGGAACCGCATTGAAAAAAGTCAATTTGAGAAAAATGTATTTAAAGTTTTTAATATAATGTACTAAATACACCATTTAATTTAATGTACAAAATACACCATGGTGTTCAAAGATTCTGACACATTAAAAAGGTCATGTGCATTAGGTATTACAATAAAAAAGAGGCAGCTGGCATACAATAGCTCGCGGAGCGATAAAAAAACGCTTTCAGAAGATCATACGTATAGAGATATATATATATATATATATATATATATCTATAACTTTGTCAAAAAATAGATATTGAGATGATTTTTTTTTTCTAAATAATTCTAAGCTTTCATAATATCAAAAAATCTCAAAACCGAAACAAAAAAAATTAAAAACAAACAACCCCCTTAATGCCATTTTTGCTGAAATTAATAATGTATTTTTTTATTTTTACGCTTAAGTATAAAATCGTAAGCTTAAACATCAGAATGATTTCAGTGAGTGAAAAAGATTGTGTAAAAGCAATATTTCAACAACCTGCCTTTACATCAAAGTTGAACATAAAATCCACCCAGATTCTGAAAATTTGAGTGTGCAATTACTTCTCACAAATTTATTTAAAATAGACAGGAAACAGGAAATACTAATGTGAAATATGTATCTTGAACTTTATAGTTTTCAGGCTTGAGTAAATAATTTAATTTTGATTTTCGATGTAAATTTCCATCACTATAAACTCCGAGAGCACTCGAACGCATGAAATCACATCTGCCGAATACGTCCGAAAGAAGGCGAAAGGAGTACGCACACATGCGGCGATACAGTTAAACAGCTGATACACTACGTAGTAACAAATGCTACGTACGTAGTGTGTAACAGTGTAACAGCGTACCAGTGTAGCTGTGTTTCCTTATCAATATACGTGTGTAGTATATTTGTATTGGATATTTTGTATTGTTTATGTTCCTGGTCCGCGAATCATACTTTTAGCGAAGCAGAGGGAGGCCCGAAGCTCAATGCGCGTCTCTAACGAAAGCTCTCAACTAAGCTTTCATCTTTGATCAAACTTTCAAGGATACATAATCTGTCCTTCAAGACTGTACTGATTATTGGACAAACTCGCTTTTAAATGCATCATTTACATAAAAAGAATATTTTTTTTTTACTTAAACTATATCATATCAACCATTATTATATTCTCTAGGATTTCAACCCTTTGTGTTTTTAATCCAGAGTAACACCACCACTTTATACTTGTTTATGGGTAAAACAAAGAGACTTTACCATCATTCAATATTTAATAAATTTTATTTTTGAAGAAATATTCAAAAAATAATTAAATGTGAAGTCGTTGTTTAAAATTGGTTTTCTATTGATGTAGAGATATTTTTAAAAAATATGTGACCCATTAACTATGAATTTGAGATATATGTTTGAAAACTTTGATAAATCAAACAAAAATTTAAAATATTAGAATTAAATTAAAAATTTTACACACATACATGTATATATATATATATATATAATTATTTATATATTTATATTGAATATAAAGATGTATAAATGATTTATATATAATATTATATAAATTTGATGTGTATATGTATATATTGACAGAGTTAAATAACCGACCATAATATGAAAAACATGAATTTCTTTGAATTTTCATTATAAAATCTTTCGTAGCATATTTTTATATTTAATTATATTGTATATATTATGTATATGTAAACTTTGCGCTGATGATAAGACAAACCACGGTTTCGAAACGTTTGGAATTTAGTACAAACAAACCGAAACCATGAACCAGAATTTTTAAATAAAAATGGGAATTATTTATAAATATTTTTATATGACCTTTTTTTGTTCGTTCCTTGTTTAAAAAGATTTAGCTTCCAATTGATTTAGCTTTCAATTGTAAATTTCATGAAATTTGTATTTCAATCAAATGTCTACAAAATCTGAAGTAAAAAATCACATAATTTTGTACATTTTGTACTTATTAATAACAAAACTGTCGTTAATTATTCATAATATTTTATAACTTAATTTTAAATCCAAGGGTTGTTTGGGATAAAACCACTTCTTTTATACTTATATTCTCTTCTTTTATCTATGGATAAAACAAAGTTTGACCTGATTTTTTTTAGTATCCTTTTATATATATTTTTAACAACAATCTATATAATAAACATATCATTTTTGTTCGACTTATTATGTTTTATTATTATATAAATAATTGATATATCTTATAAATAATCGCATGCATTCATAACGTCTTCTTTGCTTCTTTCATTTGTAATTTGCGCCTGTTTAGCTGATTATTTTAATTGCACTACTGTTGGTAGTATAAAATAATTCTACGACATCTTCATCTTTATAATTCTCAAAGTTGGCAATACTTTCATGTATTTTGATCTGACAACTTGAACATTTTAGGTTAAGTCGTTGAAAACATATTAGAACGCTTAAGCAACGCATTATTTACTTTTAGATTTGATATTTTTACATATTTAACCATGGATGATGATGCTGAGACTTACAAATTATGGAGAATTAGAAAAACTGTTATGCAAGTATGATATACAATGTTCCACCCTGTTTATTAAAATTATTATTTTCATCATATAATATTGAATACTATGTTTTAAATATTTCTTCTCTATGCCAATTTTACTTAAATAAAGCATAATTTTATATCCAAATATTTATAGCTTTGTCACGATCGAGGATATTTAGTAACACAAGATGAATTGGATCAAACTTTGGATCAGTTCAAACAACAATTTGGCGATAAACCCAGGTATGTGATATAAAGTAAATGCTCTGAAATATTTTATTTGTGAATATATGATTACATAAAATGAATATTTCCAGTGAAAAACATCCAGCGAGGTCTGATCTTATTGTTTTAGTTGCTCATAATGATGATCCTACAGATCAGATGTTCGTTTTCTTTCCCGATGAACCCAAAATAGGAATAAAAACCATAAAAACATACTGTACAAGAATGCAAGATGAAAATATTCACAGAGCAATTGTAGTGGTTCAGATCGGTAACTATGAATTAAAAGCTTTTGTTAATGTAGATTGACTATGACTTCCATAGATTTAAATCTGAAAAACACACTTTTGTTATTTAGTTCAAGAATTGGGTAAAGATTATTTATGTTCATGATAGGTATGACACCTTCAGCTAAACAATCACTAGTTGATATGGCTCCTAAGTACATATTAGAGCAGTTTTTAGAGTCTGAGTTACTAATTAATATAACGGAACATGAACTTGTACCAGAGCATGTTGTCATGACACCAGAGGAAAAACAGGAATTGCTTGCAAGATAGTATCCTTTCTCAAAAATTGTACATGCTTACAAAATTTACTTAAACCTTTTCCTTAATTAATTAAATTAGCAAATTGAAAGAAAATATGTTGATGAGAATTCAAGTCGGAGATCCAGTCTCAAGATATTTTGGTTTAAAAAGAGGACAGGTAATAATTGCAATATATTACCTTCTCTTTGGTATTCTACTTAATATGTAATTGCATTAAAACATTCCAGGTTGTGAAAATCATACGATCATCCGAAACTGCTGGAAGATATATCTCATATCGTTTAGTGTGCTAAACTATAAATTATAAACTATTGAATAAAGATTTATTTTAAGCAAGCTTTATTTTATTCTTTAAATTTAAGAACAAAGTGGTATTAATTTAGAATGAGTTTCTAAGCCAGTCTCAAAATTAACTTTTTTTTCAGAACTTTATTTCATAAAAAACAAATACTGTTTTCATGCAGCCAATAATTTTAAGTAATTTTAATCAGAATTTTTAATTCTGCAATTGTATATGTACATTTATGTATACATATATTCTGTTCTGAAAATTCTTATTGAATATACCAAAACTGAAATTTTACAAAATTAAGTAAACAAATTCAAATTAAAATCAAATCAAATACGATTTAACAAAATTTATTTATGACGATACATTTATTTTTTTTCTGCTGCTTTAGCTTTACGCTCTGCTGCTCTCTTCAATTGTGCTGCAGGCTTCAGATTATGCTTCTTTGAAAAGCGTTGATTTTTTAAGAACTTGGCATCCATCTAAAATTTATCATTTATATATTACATTAGAAAGAAAACATGTAAGTAGTATATATAAATGTAGGTAGTAAGATGTAAGTAATCTACCTAAGAAAAGCTAACTCTAATATCTCTTTAATGAAAATTTTAAATGTCAAAAACTACTTACACCCATGGTAGATTCATGTCTATAGCGCTTTGGCTTTTTGATACCATTACGGTGGGCTTTACGGGCTGTAAATTAAAATATAATTAGTAATTCGCTCCGGGTGGAATAGTTATAAAACACAATTTAACTTACTTTGATTATGATTTGTGTGATTCTTTGACTTAGCCATATTTGTTGTCAATTAGACTGAAAGAAAAAATAAATATGAATTCACTTAGAACATAGGCTAGTAAAATATAAATCGGACAAAACTGTAACAGGAATTAATTTAATATAGAGGATGCTTCAGATATATTTACGTGTAAATTCTAACCTTTAATTCAACACCACACACTATATCGCACAATCGAAAAAGGAAGAAACTTTATAAAATTAAAAACTAATGTAAATTTTGTAGTGAACATAGTAACAGTTCTTGAATTCATTACCACCATTAGAAAAAGAGTAATGGTTGATAACTCTGCAAAAATAAATGTGCATCTGGCAATACATGTTTACATCAAATGGCCGTTAAAAACTCAATAAGAGTGACAGTTAAAAGAAATAATGAGAGTACCCTAGCCTAGCACAATACAAATATTTTCTATTCTGTTCGATGACCCCAAATTAATTAGAATAGTAAATAGATGCTTGCAATATGCTTGAACAGGTAATTGGTCTGAGAACTCAACTATTTGATGTACAAGATAAGATGAATTTTTTAAATGAACCTTATTCTGACACTTGGGAAGCTGAATTATTAAAACAAGATGCTCAATATTCAGTAGAAGTCGATAATGCATTTAAAACTATTATTGAAGAACTCAATAAATATCGAGATATAAGAAAAGGTAATTTTTTCTTACTTAATTTTTGTTTTGTAACAGTTTTCTTCATATAAAGTTAATATACAATGTATATACACATTCCATGTCACTCACAAGTAGTCATTGTATCCTAATAACTTATCTGAAATTATTATTTGATTGTTTTCTTTTTTTTAAAGTTTCATTTTGATATATGTTTCTTCTTGATATTATTTCAAATTGGATTCTGATTTTTATATTTTCGGTTTTTTGCTTATTGTTAGAAATGATTATTAGAAACATAAAATAACTAAAATGCTCAAGTAATAAAATATGTATTTCAGCACGGCACACTTGTCTTGAGCAATATCAATGCAAGGCCAATGCTTTAGGAGAAAAATGTACTGAACTTCAAAGTAAAGCTCATATGCTACATATTGATAATGCGGAAATACAAAAATATATTGTAAGTAGTTATTTGAAACCATTGTATTTTTTGTTTTTGTAGCATCTGCTCCATCATATACTATATATTTCAATTTACTATAGATTCAACATAAAGAAAATTTAAGTAATCTTATGTGCAAGTTTAAAAACTACAATAATCTTCCTTCGATTAATATATTTGAATGTGAAAAGCAAGCTGCACAAAGATTGTATAAAGAAAGAGGTTTCACACGAAAATTCATAAAAACTGTTTATAATTTGGAAACTCCGTTGAAAGTCATGAATGGTTTCATATGCACTGAACTTGGTTTGGAAAAAATATCATTTGCTGGTGGAAATATCAAGGACATACAGGATAAAATTTGGCAAATCATTGCATTTCCAATTGATTCTGATAAAGTACAACAACTTAAAAATCAATATGAAATAGATGGTAATTTTAAATGCGTTTAAATTTTTAATCATTAGATATTATTGTAATATAGATTTTGTACATATAAGATAGAAATAATATAATATTTAAATATGTAAAGAAATCTTTGAAAAACACAGATTTGATTGCCGATTGGAAATGTATTGGTAAGTGAATGAACCATATATCATGCGCACTTCGTCAGAGGTCGAAATCAGCTGTTACTTGAGGTTTCAACTAGGTTTCATTCCAATAAATATCACTTGAAAATCTTTGGACATAATAATTACAAATTTGTTATAATAACTATTTAAATATGTATAGCTTTTTTATTGTATAAACATACTCATACACCCATATATATATAATTGATACTTTGCCGTAGGGCAGGTCCGAGAAGAATAGTGTGAAAGATTTCCTATACACATACACACATATGTATATATATATATATATATATATATATATATATATATATATATATATATATATATATACATATATATATATATATATACTCGTATATATATATTTTGATGAGTTATTTAGAATCGGGCAAACAAAGAAAAAAAATGTATATATATATATATATATATATTCGAACAATTGAAATGAAAAACCAACTAGTTTATATTATATATTATTATACCGAACAAGTATTTATTGGCAAAATATGTAAATTCCATCACCAGGAGATCTGTCAAACACATGACCTGGATTAAAAGATCAACAAAGAAAGTATTGCAATTAATGGATTATAACATAAATAATGAAATTATAAATGAGTAAAATAGTTATGATAAATTTTTATATATATAATATAAATAATTATTGCATTTGCAAGAGTTTGTACAGATTCGATTATATTGAAGATCAGAAATTGATTTGGAAATATGAAATTCTTCCATAATAACCGTCTTGAAATGTTGTGATTATTATTATTTGTTATAATAACTGTTATCTTTGTAGTGCGAAATTATATCCTCGAAGAAAAAACAACATATAAAATTTGTAAGTTGCATATGCAGTTTTAACGATATTTAAATTTTATTTTATATGCATCTAAATATGCATAACTCAAGCCACTTCAGTGTGATTATTTCAGTATTTGAATGTATTTACATACATTTTAATTTTTTTATATGTAAAAAGAATAACAGCAAATTAATTTCAAATTAGGAAATCCTACTTAAATAATATGATTTTGAGAGTATAATGAAAACAATATTGTTTAGATAAATAAATTGTTAGCAAATAAATAATATTCTTAACAATTTATAAATTTGTAATTATTATGTCCAAAGATTTTCAAGTAATATTTATTGGAATAAAACTTAGTTGAAACCTCAAGTAACAGCTGATTTCGACCTCTGACGAAGTGCGCATGATATATGGTTCATTCACTTACCAATACATTTCCAATCGGCAATAAAATCTGTTTTTCAAAGATTTCTTTACAAGGCTATAGAATTTATATATAAATTTTATTTTTATATTTTAAATAATGATTAATAAAGCTAATGCCATAGATAAGAATGGCTAATATAATTAAAGTAAAGCAAAATGTGTATTTAATATACTGATATTGAATTTGTGTTATATGCATGTGTCTAATCATATGACCTCCGATGTAAAATTTTACTCAAAATAATGAATGTTTTATATTGGTGAATAAGTATCAATTTCAATTTAATATAACCAAAATTTAGCTGATATTTTTTTTATTGCAGTTTATTTCATCAATAAATTTAAACACCAAGTAATGAATTGTAAAAATACACGGTACCAGAAAAATACAATGCAAGTAAATATAGGTGAAAGAACATCCAAGATCGATTTAATAATATACATGAAATAACATATGGTAGAGGAAATGAAATGAGGCACTTTCAAACTGGTTTTGAATGAATTCTTCTAAAAATACGCAGTTGTCGCCGAGAATTATAAAAAAATAATAAAAATTAACACTTCAAGTGAAAAAACTAATTTATATTGTTTAAAATTTTTAACTTCCCGTAGGGTAAGTTATAGTTATCGCAAAAAATCGAAAATAAAATTTTGTATATATCTTTACGTTTCAAAGGTTTCTGAATATTTTGGCATACCTTTAAGAAAAAATGGGTGTATGTTTGTGTGCAAATTTTCGTCGACGATTTCGGTAACACCAATCAACCGATTTGAATAATTCAAAAAACATTCGATTCGTATTGATAAAGAGACGTGCTGATTAGTTTTTGACGAAGGCAGGTCTAACCGTTCCAAAGATACGGAACAAAAAGTGCCAAAAACGGTAACTCAGTTTTTAAGAGAACGGAGCGTCCAATTTTAATAATTCAAACATTTAACTTGTATTGACAAGATTGACAAGAAGAACTAATTAAATTTTTGGGAAGGCGGGTCTAGCGGTTATGGACTCTCAATAAAAATAAGTTAAAAAATGCCATTTGGCGGTCAAACATGTTTATTGGACATACGTACATCGAATTATCAGATATTTTATAGAGATTTTAATATAGTGTACATATTTTGTGCAAATTTTTTGAGTTCCGTACCAAGATTTTCAATTACGGTACGGAAAGTTCCAGCAATTTGCTTTAAGGCACGATGCCATGCACGCTACTAGTATTTTTTTTTATTATTTAACGTTTTGAGTAAAATAATGACCAGGGGTACTACTACAAGTTGTCATATGTAGCAATCGATTTTTGCATCGCCAGAGCGCAGGCCACAGGAGTTTGTTCGTGCGCTCAGTTTGTTTTGTTCTCAGCGTGCATGCTGTCGCTTGATTTCGACTCGTTAATAATAATTTCAACATTTAATATTATACAAATAAAGTGCAAAATGTAGAATAAAATTAAAAATTGTTTAATGTACTTAAGATTATAAATTAAAAAATATCCCCATTTGTCAAATATTTAAAGTGATGTGAGAAAAATATTTCAGCGTTAAGATCTGATGGGAATTTTATTCCCATGTATTCGTATTATGCATAAAAAATGTTTTTGTTAACTAGATATTATTCTGGTTATATGAGAACTTTGTGAAAATAAAGTTAACTGTGAAGTATAAAAGTGAGGTTACATTTAGAAAAGACTTATACAGAACATTTAATAATTTATTTTTAACCGTTTTTTAACTAATTCATCTTTTCATAATCTGACTCAATTTCATATTGTTTATGATATTTGTTATTTAGTGCACTTTTCTCTTCGGTGCATTATTAAAATAAGTTTTTATTGACAATCACATAGTCATTACATGTTATAGTTATTAATTTAATAGTAATATTGCCATTAAATTCGATTTTATGAATTAGAAGACCACTGTAATGGACAAAAATATTTATAAATGATTCCAGGTAGGCATTATTTAAAAACGATAATATCGATTTAATTGCAATAAACAAATAGCATGATCATTATACGTATTATACTTTGACTTAATTGATATTCTTGTTATAAATTTTAATGCTCTTTTTGTGAAATAACATTTTCCATATCTATAAGAATAATATGATTTATTTATAGTTTTGTCATATTATTTTATAGTAAAGTAATATGGCATTAAGCACTTTGCTTTATTATTCATGTTTTATATTTAAATACTTGTTTTTTTCATCACAATCACCAGTTAAGGATATTTTTCGTCTTTCTTATAGAACACTACAAAATGTTTCCACAAAGTGTAGAAACATATATATCTTGATATCTAAAATTTCTGTTTTTTTTATTTTCGACAAATTGACTGATATTTTTATAGAATATGTATGTATATATATATATGCATATGTATATATATATATATATATATATATATATATATATGCATATAAGAAGTAATAATTGAAAATTAACCAACGATTTTTACCATGTTTATTTCCTGAACATGAACATATTATATCTAACAAGTTCTAACACGTGAGTTGCTCATTTTCTGTTTTTCTATACCTAAGTTTGAATGTTTCTGAAATAAGAAAACTGTATCTTTCGTTCTTGACGTTATCATTCTGTGAAATAAAGCAAGTTTATCCTGGCAGACGAAAAAAACGTTTTCCTTATCTTTTTCGAAATATTACCTGTGTTAATGGACTAAGGACGTATGAAAGTCTCCAAAACTTTCTGATGCCCACCACCCCGAATGAATCATACCGTGTCATAGTTTCTATGAATCTTATCATAAAATGTTTTCTTTTTGGCATTATACCGTCATTTAGCCACATACATTATTTTATATCCTTTTTCTATCCAATATTTTTCATTATCTTAATTTTTACGAATTCTTCTTTCTTCTAAATCCATCTTCTTCTTTCTTCTACTTACTTCTAATTCTGCAGAAGTTTTACATTCTACTAAAGTTTCATACTTCCTCCATATATTCATACTCTATATACGAAGGTATACAATTACAGGTACATTGTCATATAATAATTTGCTATTACAATTCTATATTTTTTAGAACGTACGAGGAATCTAACCAACGATTCTGGCGTGTGAGTCGGACACGCTACTGACTGAGCTATGTCCGTCACAAAAGTCATTTAAAAAAAAAAAAAATAATTTTCATTTGGCCTTGCTTACTCTGAGCATTTAGCCACCTACAACATTTTTATTTATTCACATTCTATACCAATTTTGTAATTTTTTTCGATTACAAAAATGAAGTGTTTTTTAGTTGAACTTCTCTAAGTAAATGAAAGTGAATCCGCAAATTATCCGTTTCATTGAAGTGCTCTTTGGTAAGCCACATTTTTTGTTTTTTTGGTCTGACATTAACACAAACAAAGCGGATGGTTTTCAAACTCGTGAACAGGCAAATTATAACTGCCCATGTGAAAAACAATGATTTTCTAAATAATCTATTAAAAATTTATTCCGCAAACACATTGCGAACGCAAGGCGAACTGAGAATTGCAATCGTTTAAAATCAAACGGAAGACCAGTCGGAATCATTGGTATGTCACCAAATCGCCAGCAATTTTTGATTGAATGGTGAAATTCAGTGCGTGTACATCATTATTCTTTGCGGCAAGAATTGCTCGTTGACTTAACCAAGCATAATTCTGATAATTCTCACTAATGCCATTACTCGAATTTTTAATTACGGTGCGTGAAGTTCCAGCAGTTTGCATTAAGGCACGATGCCATGCATAACTAATTTAAGCATAGCTATAAACCTTGCGGAGCCCGAGACCATTCCAACGAATGCAAAATTGTCGAAATCGGTTTGTGCGTTCTGGAGTTATATCGTCAGGAAGAAAAACCCGACTTATTTTTATATATATGTAGATATATTAATAGTGAGGTAATTAATAATTATCATTAATCCTTTATTTTTGACCTCTGAGATTATCATTTAATGTGGCTATATTTAAACTCCATATTTTGCTTATACTTAGATGTACAAATAGAACATCTACAAATGGTCACATAGATTTCTATGATTCATTACCGCGTATTGCTACGTTTAATCCTGCTTTGATATGGTTGCTGATTAAGCAATTTAACCCACTTTCAAATTCTATATTTCCTTCATTTTTAGAGCACTTAGTCATAAAAATCAATATTATAACTACCGCAACCTTAGTGGATTCACAAACCCAGTTGCAATTTATCATATGTTATCCTGTCGTGGGCGTCGTTTATGGCATAATTATTTTTATCTCAATGGGACATCAATAAGTTAAGTTCGTAATGCTCCAGTGACTATTTATTTATCTGCACCAGAAATACATTGACCTATTTTAATAGAGCGCTCGACGACTGGAGCTAATAATGTGCAGAGCTGCATCTACTTTGTTAGTATGTCGTAAAATGACTTCAAACCAATTAGGTATGAAGAGACATGCGTGGCATATTGATTCGAAATTTAAACAAATACATGTGCCATGTGCCTGTTTGAAGGAAATTGCAAGTAGAATAGAGAAGAATACTAATTATGCCTCAGAGAAAATTACAAAGTGGAATATACAAGCCATGGAGTTGCTTTTATGAAATATCTTTTATTGCATCAATTTATTAGTTTTATCCTTGCTGAAATTACTGGCAAGGGTTCGATAAGTTCGTTATGATTAAGAAAAATCGAGTACAGTTGGGCGATTCATGGTGAACTGTAAATAAATATATGTTGTAACTTTATTCAATTACTAAAACTAATAACACTTGGAATGATTATAAGTATTCAAACATAATTATAAGATCGACAGAGATCATAGTTTAGTTTTTACTGGTCAATGAAATAGGTCAGATTTTGATTGCATACAATGTTGTAGACTTGCTTAAACATGACGAATTTTCGAATAAATAAAATAATATTAATTAACTTCGCATAGGGTAAGTTATTGTAATGGGCCGAACATCGAAATTGAAATTTTTTACATTTCTCGACGTTTTGAAGGTTTCTGAACATTTTGGCATACCTCAGAAAAATGGATGTGTGTGTGTGTGTTTCGGGCGCACGGATCAACCGATTTGAATAGTTCAAAAAACATTCGATTCCTATTGATAGGGAGATGAGCTGATTAGTTTTTGGCAAAGGCAGGTCCAGCAGTTACGGAGATAAAGAGCAAAGAGTGCAGAAAATATAAATCGAGTTTTTGAGAGAAGGGAGCATCCGATTTGAATCATATAAAAAACATTCAATTAGTAATGTTTGGGAGAAGTGTGTTTTTCGCAAAGGCAGGCCCAGCCATTTCGAAGATACGCAGCTAAATGTGCAAAAAATCGACGTTTTTGAGAGAACTAAGCGTCCGATTTAAATGATTCAAAGAACTTTCTGCTTGTCTTAACAAAATAATCGATTTTGGCAAAATAATTTTTTTGTTTCAACTTTTTTTTGTATATCGAAAATAATTCAGATTTTATTTTTAATTCTGTCTATAGTTCTAATATACTTTAAACAAATAATTTCAACTTTGCAATTCTTTATATAATTCTTATAAATATTAGACAATGTTACAATATTTATAATAATCTATTTGAAAACATTCAGTATTCCTCGAACATTTCGTTACGGTACGGGAAGTTCCAGCAATTTGCCTTAAGGCACGATGCCATACACTCCACTAGTTTCTTCTCTAAATTACTGGGAACTGATTTTACCAACAAAGGGAAAAAGTGTGAATGTAAAATTTCAAAACCAGTAATGCATGATTGCATGCTATTTTATCTTGATTTTAAAATATTGGTACTATTTAATCATTTTTCTCTGAATTACATGAAATGGATTTTGTCTATATCTGGAAAAAAGTATGATTACAAAATTTTAAATACAATAATGTTTTGTCATACTTTTCTATACTTTTTGATATTTTCATGCTTTGAGTAAAAGTAAACCTTACTCACTCACAAGGGGAACTCTTCTGGGGTTTTGAAGAAACTTTACATGGTGATAGAGTTTGATAGTCAAATCGAACCTCATAAAATTTAATAGACCTTAATTATTTTTTATAATTATACCACTTCTCATAGGCCTATAATATTTTATGCGGCTTGGTTTGACTATCAACTCTATCACTATGCAAAGTCATCAAAATCCCAGAAGAGTAAAACTGAGGTTCCCTTGTCAGATAATTGTTCTCAAGAATTTTATTAGTAATCTTGAATAAATGTACGGAATTGCTTATAATACCACAGTCGAATATTCAATGATTGCAATACTTCATGAGCTATTTGTTTTTGTTGCGAAATTTTGTCTTAACAACTCTCTGAACTTCGGCACTATTGCACATCCTTTATAGATAGATGTTTAAGTTTTTATCAAATGGCAAACATCCGGCAACTTTGCTACAGTGGTGTTTAGGTATGTCTATAAATATTTTAAAGTTTAAATAATAAATTATTCTTAATATGAAATACGGCTTGTATACATGTAAACGAACATTCAATCACGGCTGCTGTTCATTGAGTTATTATCAAACGCATAATTGATATTTATTGCTTCAATGAAGTAGGCAAGTATAGTAATTTCAAAGTCTGACTAGCTATATTTAGATATTATTGGTGAATAATATTGTTTAAATTTCGAGATCAGAGTTCAGGTTTAAATTTATATTTTGTTTTCCAAAAGTCTTTTAACTACATTTTAGGATGAATGCAATCTACACGTGACCAAAGTTATTAAACGAACAGACCCGTGTAGCAGACCTCACAAACAAAAACCATTTTGGCTTTACCAACGTGAACAAATGTTTGTTTAATGCGTTTATTTGCTCTCCGTAACCATACGGAAACGCACTGCTATTTTCTCTTGCCTTCAAAGTTCCATCTGCTTAACCTACTAAATTTTCACTAAATTAAAATGACTAACTATAATATGATTGAATACAAGTTTTAGCAATTAAATCTTGATATTATGGCTTAA